GGAACAAACCCCGAACTCAAAAACAAATTGCTCACATCCCCCCAAGAACCCCTTCTTCTCCCTAGGGCTCAGTCCCATGCACACTAATTGGCTCGCTAACTTGGATGTCCCCCTCCACTAACATAAGCCCAAAGCTTTGCCTCTTTTTTCCGCGTTTTTGGTTGATGTCGTACGAATCTATTCAGGAAGACGAATACGTCCTATTATTGCGAAATTGACTTTGTCAGACGCATCACTGGCCAGTCGTCACCCTCCACCCCTTGTGAATTATTCGATAGCGCCACGACACCAGGCTCTTTTGTCACCGAGTCGGAGGTTCTTAGAAAACGTCTACTTCTCTGAGTTTCTTCATACTTTCATCTAATAGTCTGCTCTTGTTTCCCATTCGTACAATTGGATTTTGACTAGTCTATATCAGGTTCAAGAAAAAAAGGTGGCTGCGCGAGTTTCAGGGCTTTTTTTTTATCCATACTTTGATTCTGACCACATCAATAATCTCGAAAATAATCGGGGAAAAGTTGAAATGTCATGGCCCCAAAAAAATAATGGCGGATTCGGAACATAATATGTTTACTCTTCTGTTCACAGGCTAATAGGTGTGGTTCACTAGGACAGAAAGCGACTTTTCCTCGTTCCGCAGCGCAAAACATTCATCGCTGCGGAAGCATAGGGTCCACTGGGGCTAAGCTGTTGTGAGATCTAGGTACATAAGGCGGCGCTACCAAGTATAACGGGTTCATCTCCTAGGGCTAAGTCTAGAAAGAGGCAGGAACCCTGGTAAAATGAAAGTTGCTTATTCAATCCTGGAGTCCCTTTCCCCCAACCCTAAGGTGTAGTGCCCTTTATAAAGGTTTTTACGCGTTACCACACAGTGTTTCCCTATCTTGCGACAGCGCTCGCGCAGCTATCGTGCTTAACCCGAAGTATCCGTTACTTGAAAGGGGCATTGATTTTGAGCGCCCGGTAAATAGTGTGGGTGTAGGCATGTTTGAAGAGAGAAGTAGTGTGGAACCAGCCCATTTCATGAACAGGGACGATCGCACATTAGTATGGAATTCCTTACGGAATTGCACCATAGATTTTCGTACTGAAATCCCAAGATTTGCCCAATTCAGCCCATTCTGTACCGCGTTTGTCAGTGAAGGCGCGATTACGATTACGATCCTAGTCGATTCTGTTCTTGTCTCTGGTCTGTATTCATCGATGCTTTGTTGTTCGGGTAGTGTGTTCTTGAATATTGATATATCATTTGCCTAGCATCGAATATCGCAAAACTTTTTCAGATGGGCACATTTACGATACCGTACTTCTTACGGGCCGCAATCTGGGATAAAAAGGGTTACTGGATTGCATCGATCCCTGCCATATATATCGGTCGATGCTGGGAAAGTGCTGGCTATGCAAAAGTGGAAATGATGAAGGTAATTTTTCTAGATTTTTTCGCGAACATTCCCTCCGCGCACATTTAAGCTGAAAATTTCTGAATTTCTTGTTCGTTTCAGGGTCGCTCAAAGATGTATGCCGATAGGATTCGATCCCTCCCGAAACACGCAGATCCATGGAAATATTAGAAAAACATTATGCAGACCTTGTATGAATAGTATTTTCTATATAGTAAATCATTTGATAGGATTTGTGTTGAATTGAAAACGGATCGCGGTTCAACTCCGAGATTTCTACCGAACATTGTGTTTTTATTTTTATTTTATGGAACCACTGGAAATGCTCTTTTAAACAGGGAGGAATATTTTCGTGCTAGCCTGAAATTGTAATGTTAGTGAATCGAGGTCCTCCATTAGGAGATGACTCGAGTAACTCCAATGATGATGATATGGGAGAGGAGGCGAGTATTTGGATGTCGCGAGGTGTGATCATTCCCTTACCAATGATGCGATCTACTTTTGTTTAGATGGCGTCTAGTCGGGGGTTTTCGGAGGAAAGTTGGTGCAGTGACGCGATGAAATCGGCGACAACATATGAAGTGTGTGGTTTTTTCTTTATTTGCTGTCATCGACTTGTCTACACTGTAGAGTTTTGTTACCTGCTCATCTTTATACAAGTCATCCTTTTCAGGAAGACGAAAAGCTAGCCGAAGAGCGTCTTGTGAGTTTATATCCGCGAGCAGAACTCAGGGTAAGTTGTGTTTCATTGCATTCTTGTTTGATCTCTGAGGATTGTTTACTTCAAACTAGCAATTTATATAAGTTTGGTTACAATTTTGAAGTTTCCGAATTAATTTCTAACCTTGCTGGACATATGGTAGGACCATTTTCCGACCTCCCGGAAAAAGGAATACCCTTCCTCGGCCAATCAGCATCAATCATTTGTAACAGTTTGCTCGCTTGCTAAGCGGTTACATTTCGACGGGCTCCCAGACAATACCTAACCATTTGGGCGCGGCCGAGTCGATTGTGCCCGCGAACCGTTGAAAACGCACTCGAGGTGCCCGCGAACTGTGCTGTGCTGAGTTCGCGGGCACCTATCAACTCGGCCGCGTTCGCCGCGGCCGCGCCCAAATGGTTAGGTATTGTCTGGGAGCCCATTTCGACGTCTTTTATTTTGCTACGTGTTATAATCATTGAAAGCAAAAAGGTGGACATCTATAATTGTTCTTTGTTTTCGGTTAGCACCGTGCGAAAAGGTTTTTACATGTTGTCGTGTAGAACACGGCTACATTCAAGTCGCGAGTGTTGTTCTGTTCGAGAAGGGATCCTCCCATGGGTTCTATGAGAGGCGCTTTTTTATACCGCCTGAATCTTGCTCATGCACTTCGTTCATCTTTGCGCTAATGGAATCGTTGTGATAGAGGTGATGGCAGCTCGCGTTCTCGATTAATACGAAGGAGAATGGAAAGTATTAAGTTGAATGGGTTAAGGTTTGGAGCTTTTCCCAATATGTTGGTGTGTTACGGCGAGCACCGCTACAATTGAACTACGTGCTATTTCAGATTTTTAATGAACGGCTTTTCACGCAGTTTTTCTTTTTACGAAATCAATAAAGTTTTAGCGAGTTTCATTGCGGCTCGATCGATCCTCTGAGACAACTGTATTGTTCCTTTAGTAGTGATATTTTTCATCACGCTAAGGTAGTTATGCTAGGGTAGCCGGGCCTAGTACTAATAGGGTATAAAATTCAGTATTCATCCTGAACCTTCGTATTTATAAAGAAATATTCCGTGATTCATGGAAATGGGTGGCGCTGTAATTGGGAATGTTAGTTGAATGCGGATAATGGCCTGTGCCTTTCTAGTCGCTGAAAATCTGAAATGTGTCTACACTTTAAACTCTCAGTCGTTTCGTGTCGATAAAAGCGCAATAATCCTACCCTCCTTGGCTAACATAAGGGAGTGTGAATCTATTTCTCGGCCTGAAGTCCTCAGGTTTGGAGGGAGATGATTTTGCGCGAGACTTTCACCATCATGTTACGTTTCGTGGCATTTCTCTTTTAAAAGGCGATCCAGGCGGTTAACAAAGTGGCAGTGAATATGAAAGAGGTCTAGTAAGTTGGATGTTTGGGCGTGGTTCAGTACCCCAGCTATTTATTTTTTAGTCGCTTTTGTGCGTCGACACGGTGGCAAATCCATCGGTAAGGAGTCGGCCCACAAAACCGCATGAACCGCGTGTCGCTGTAATGTGTCATGAGGCTTTGTCATGTCACGGTCTGACGATCCGGTCTCTAGTTTTGCGGTGATTTCATGCGATTTTGTCGCGATTGACGCGATTCAGCGCGCGACTTGGATGTGGGTCAGTGGCAGCGGTCCTGACTCACTTTGTGCCGTTATTTAGTACGCGTGCAAGATACTTGGGTGATCTTCAAGAGTTTGTGGCGCGCCTCACTCCTCACTTAGGTAGTGAGTGGGTATCGGATAGATAGACGGAACTCCTCATGATTCGCACTTGTTGATGTGCGCTGTGGTGATGTTGTGCAGAACTGGGTCGGTTTTTGTTCTGATGTCTTCGCGGGTGCGTTGTGTTTACTTGCAGATTGTTTTGCATATATGTTTGGAACTCTGGACATCAGAGCGTATTTATCTATGACTGACTGTCCATGGTTGAACATGAAACGTATGAATGACGACAATCGTTCCTTCATTGTTGCAATGTTCTATTCTATTTATTCGCTCGTGCAGTCCGTTTTGAGGGCATAGTTAAGTGCGATTTGAATTTCCTGGGATTGGCGCTGTATCTCTCGCGGTAGTGATCATCGGGCATTTCCAACTCGCGTGAGCCGTATTGTATTGCCGATCGATCTATAGAGTGTTGTGGAAATTCGGGGTTAAATAGCTTCGTCAGCGTGAAATCAGCTCGGAAACCTCCTGCGGATTTCGGATGCGGACTCCTTGGACTACGTAAGCGCATTCAGGGATTCGAGCTGGGTGTTGTGGCACTTTGCCATGGGCTTGTTGTTGTAGCGCTACCCCAGTGATTTGCTTAGCTGTTGACTACTTGAAGGTGTGGCCGTGCGGCGTTGGGACTAGTGTAGCGCGGTGAATTATAGAGGGTTTATGGTGGTTTATACTATTATTGCGCGAGTGATTATTTCGTTGTTGATTTTGTCGCAGCGCAACCGTTAGCGTGCAGTCGCTCATATTTCTATCCTTTGGCCATAGTTTGTTTGTGTAATTTGAGTCTAGTGGTCTGGTAGCGTACTCGCCGTTGTGCATGAGGACCTGTGAAATCGCATTCCTATGCATTCAGCAATAATGATTAATGAATTATACAGTTGTTGCTTACGTGCGTGAATAAGGTATATGTAGGAGCAGTGGAAAGCTGTATTGTCTCGGAGAGTCGCGATTCTCTTTCGCAGTAGCTCCTCAACTCGAGCTTTTGTGGACTTTTAGACAATAGTGTTTTCTAACTCATCGATGTGGTATAGTCTTGTCAGATTTTTTTTATAACTAATTTCTACCAACGTTTAAGGTTTCCAACGCACGGGCACCCTCTCTCGCCACCTTGCGACCTTCGCCATCCCTTGGAACTTTCTCCGAATCTCACCTCACAACACGCATTTTGTCCGGATATTAGAGGAGTTTGTCCATTTGAGAAATTTAGATATGTTTTATGTGTCGGGATCCGAGCTCGTAGTGTGCCACTGCACTTGTGCTGCCCGTATTGCGCGTCAGAAAGAAGAAACATTGCGGACGGCCGTGTCTGTGGCGTCGTTCGCGTTGGATCCTGTTGTTATTCGATAGGCCTTTTGTAATACTACAGGGTGAGCAGTAGTCGTAGAGCAAAGCTGCTCCATCAGATAGAGCAAAATCGGCGCTTTTAATAAGCAACGAAGTGGTATGCAAAATGTAGCCGAAAGAAGTGAAAAAGTGAAGCCGAATGCCGAAAATGTAGTCAGAACTGATACATGAAACTTGTCTGCTGTCAAAAACCAACAAGAACTATCGTTGCAACCTAATCTCTGTTCATGTATCTTCCGTAAACTTTTGGCGATTGTAGCAAGGTGGAATAGTGTTGGCCGTGTTTTTGGGAGTCACCACGGACTGTACTCTTCCTCCATTTTTCTCAAGTTTCTCTCCAATACATTGCACATTCATTCTCGGCTTCGTGATCAACCAGACTCCACCATCTTTGTTTGCAAAACTCTGCTCTCTATACCCTTCACTTCACTCTTGGGCAGTGAAATACACTGAATTTTTAGTGTTCTCATGAAACTCATTGGGAAACAGTTGCAATCTTGTATCTGACCTTTTTGAGCAGCTAAATCCCAAGCTGTTTTCCCATAAAAGATGCTTTACGCATCAGTAGATGTGGGATTTAAGCTAAATCAAGGAAGAAGTTAAGAACAGTTAGTTTTTGAATAATCAATTGGTTGCACGAAGTTGCTTTCAGCGTCTTCCACGGTTGTGGAATAAAAACGACAAATATCATTTCTTGGATATATCACACAATTCCTTGAGAGTCAGTTACAAAGGTTTGTCACTTATCTTTCACTTCAACAGTGTTTCCCTTGACTGCTTTTAGTATTTGTTGCAGGCAATGGGAAGCAGCAACAGAAAGACGCAGCGTCAACTCGCGCTGACTATCCTATTCCTCCACAATGTGGTGTCTATTATTTCGAGGTTTGTATTGTGCACTTCCCATTGAATTGCTTCGATTGGACAAGAATGTTCAATGCTAATGATTATGTTTTTATCTTGCAGATCACTATTGTTCGTGGATTGAAAGGCTGTATGGGTGTCGGTGTATGTGGGAAATCTGTCAATCTGAATAGATTACCTGGTGGGTGTTGTCTTGAACTGTTTTCTTGTTCACTTTATGGCAATGGAAAATACCATGATGTCTTACACGAGGAGTATGTGAAGCAAATCCTTTGGAAACAAAAAAAATCGTTTGTCCCTTAGGATGGGATCGAGACTCGTATGGTTACCATGGCGATGACGGGAATTTCTTCTCGTCGTCTGGCAATGGTGTCTCATATGGACCAAAATTCACTTCTGGCGACGTAATTGGTTGTGGAGTGAATTTAGTAAACAGAACTATATTCTTCACAAAAAACGGTGTTCATTTAGGTATGTTAAGTTTTTCGACACTATCAAGTATGGTGAGAAAAAACAGGTTAATTGGTTCAGGTATAGCTTCTCGAGAGTTGACGCATATTGATGACCTTTATCCCACTATTGGTTTGCAAACCACCGGAGAAGTCGTGGACGCCAATTTTGGTCAGCGACCGTTCCGTTTCGATATTCGCCCGGAAATGGAGGTTCGAGACTTGTCATATAATATTATGGTTGGTATTAGTGAGTAATCATCAGTTCATTTTTAGGCTGCTAGAGCGAAAGTCGCCAATGAAATTCTCTCCATTCAACTTCCTCCTGAAAAGACCGATTGGATGAATAGGTAATTTGGTTTACCATTTGTAAACTGTTACACAGAAATCTTAATCTATTTACTGCAAAATTTTAGGCTTGTATCATCATGGATGGCTTGCGAGGGATATAGTAAATCCATGGCATCCTTTTGTAATGCCGCTAAATTGGTACCAGACGAGGGTGAGCAAAGCATTGAAACTCGTAAAGGTGAGCATTTCAAGCGTATGCCATGAAAATCTTTCAGTATAGAGTAAATACAACATCTGAATCATGCGGTTTGAATCAGAGTAATGAGTATTTGAAAAATCATGCTAAAATTGCTTGTTCACGATTTTTCTAAATCACCTTTCTTGTGCGTGCGATCCTGAAATTTCTCACTAGTTGGTGACTGACTGAAAAAAAACTCCGGTGTTTTTTCTTTCTTTCCATTTCCCTAGTAATGCGGACGAGAGATTGTAACTGCAGTTCGGTAATCACCAATATTGATTGAAATTCTCTGTTGTAGAGATTATTGCGTTGGTGTTGTCGCGGCGCAGTGCAGAAGCGATCGCTCGCATGGAGGATGCTTATCCGGATATTTTTGTTCTCAATAAAAATATCGCTCTTGTTTTGAAGTGTCAACAGTTTGTTGAAATGGCTGCAGAAATTGCACGTGTGGTAAATCTTCAAAGCTTTTTCCGCAAAATTACGTTTTTCTCACTTCTTATTTCAGGATTCTTTGTCGAAGCCCGCACCGATATCGAGTTCAAATGGTCAGTCGATGCCATCATCATCCGCAGTGACGCCGCGAAGTTCGTTCAATGATAGACCTACTTTTTTCGCGGGCTAACTTGATGTTATAATTTTCTAGCAACTCACTCCTATCCTTCGAATCCTCATAAGCGATCTTATGGTAAGTACGGTGAGTGTTATGTCACGCTGATAGGCAGGGAACGCGACTGTTCGTTGTTATTTATGAAATCCTGTAACAATATTCCTTTAGTAGATTCTCACTCGGAGGACATTGAAGCCCCACCAGCGAGACGAACACCACCTTCTAGTGCGGGCGATGTCAACGTGTAAGCTAGTGCTTTTTTATGCCTAATTTGAATTATGAGTCACATCTTAAATATTAACTGTCCTCCATTATGCTCCAGGTTCTTCAGGATATTGGAGGAGAGGTAGGTTTTGTTGCTTGCGTCTGAAATGTCCGATTTCATGAGCCATGAAAGAAATCAATGTAGATTTGTTCGGCTTAGAATCGATTTGCTAGAAACAGAAGTTTACTTAGAGTATTTTCAAGGTTGACAGTAAAGGAAAACCTTGAGGAGATTTAGCTAGGGTAGCCTTTCGCTCAACTGCTTTTGATTTCAAAGTCAAAACTCGCGACGAAATTGATGTTCATGGGAGAGAAAAATGTGTGGTGGAGGGGAGAGAAAAGTCCAAGTGGACAGTACAGTGCGTGTTACAAGTATAGACGCACCTCTAAAATTACCATAGCTACACCCCATAGAAGTTCTTGCAAAACAACCTTATCCCCATATAGGTCACCATGCCCGAAAACGATGGTTTAGCAGTTTTCACGTAACATTGAAGGAATATGAGCTTTTTTAGACAGATGAGCTTATTCTGGCTGTACCAAAAGTGTAGAAGCACCTTGAAAATTGAAAACATTGAAAAAATTGAAAACAAGCATATAACTTCTTTTCAATAAGCAATTGTTCCTCCATGTTTAGAAATGATTTCAAAAATTCGATTTGGCATTGATTCAACTAATCTATACAGCAATTGTACATCCAAACAATCCCATGCCTGAATAATTGCTATGTTGAGGTCTCCTACACTATCAAAGTTTTTCCCTAGCGTAAATATCTCTGACTAGGAAGGCCTCACATGTTCCCTATGGGTTGAGATCAGGAGAACAGGCAAGGCTACATAGTGACTACATTTCACTACTTTAACCATTATTTTGTGGAACTTGCGTGGATCGCCGCGTTGTATTGCTGGAAGACGATTTCTTCCTGTCGGGGACGTGCCCAGAAATAGTAACAGATAAGAAAACGGCACGTCCGTCAAGTATATCTGCAAGGAGGTGAGGGTGATCTCAAGTTTATCGTTTCGATAGAATCCTCCCCAAACCACGACGCTATCTTCACCAAAATTACATCTACTGAAAACCTCGTTTTTTTGCTTCCCTCCAGTAAATGCTCCCATTTGAACTGTCCAAGAGTTTTTTCCTCGTTGTGAATCCAACTAAAACAGAAAATTTCAATGAAAGCTTAGCAAGAAGGACGCATACTTTGGTCCAATTTGTTGCCATGTTCTTTTTGGCAAACTGTAGCTGGATGTCGTTGCGGGCGTTGTTAAGTCGAGGAGGAGGGTGGATGCGTCATCTAATTATTTTGCTCTTGCGCTTGATTGCTATGTTCTTTGAAATGTATCTAATAAAGTCCTGGCTCGCTGACGGTCGAGTCAGAAACAAGGTGTTTAATTGAACATATTTGCTGTAGAGTTAGCGTCTTCGGCCTCCCAGCTCTTTTTTCTTCCATTTGTATTTGATTGTGTGTCATGTAGAAATCGGTCGGTCTGTCTTAACGAACATGGCATTTGTTCAAAATTTGACGATTGCTCAGGCCTGCTGTCCACACGACGCGAACTCGTCCATCCTAGGCTTCTGACAAACTGGACCTTGGGCATTTTGCGGTATACCGCAAACTATCAGCTAGTATTGGTTCCTTGGAATGAATTCCTTCGAAACTATCAACTAGTATTGGTTCCTTGGTTCCTTGGAAAAAAAAAGTTTGTGGAGTGCGTCTCTACTGTTGATGCAACCAAAATAACGCTATACTGCTGAGAAAAACCTGAGTTCCACTTCATTTCTCTGGAAGCTGTGAGCATAGGTTTTCGAGCATGCTGATTCAGATGGTGATAAGCATGTTTGTCAAGAACTTTTTGAAAGTCAGCTGTGGCCATTTCAGGGGTGCGTCAATACCTATGGTACGCACTCTATGAGCGATTTGCGGCAGAAAGCACTTTATTTACCAAGTTTTAGGTGCGAGAAAAGTGTCCAACGGAATGCAGACATACCACACCCGTACATGTTTTTGTGGTTTCCTCTTACTGGTGCCTTTCATATCAAGATCTCCCACAGCGAATCTTACTACTTTCATATTAGCTTTCGCGTATGAGAGCGGAGCGGTACAAATTTACATGTACAGCCCATATCTCGAACTCTGATCAGGCGTGTCTATGGATTTGACGTGGCACTGCCGCACTTGATAGAAGTTGCGCGGATAAGCTGCTTCCAGCATGCTTTGCTGATATCCAGCGGAGTATTAGAAACAGCTTATCCACACGACTTCTATCAAGTGCGGCGACGGCCACATCAATTCCATAAGCACGCCTAATCAGACTTCAAGGTGTGGACGTACGCACCTTTCAACACCTCTGAAATTCGAATCACGGTATCTCTTGTCGCGAGTTTTGCCTTTGAGCACGAATTCGTTTACCTAATGCATATGCACATGTTTAGTCACACCGGTATGCAAGTAGATGAAGATGAACCATGCTGTTCGTCCACAACACTTCTGCCCGAGCGTAACGGTGGAGCTATGGCCGACATAAAGAATGGAACTGGTCCCGAAACTGCTGATGGAGGTTCCGTTGATGATGGCGTGATCATGAGTGGAGATGGAAGTACTACTATAGTCGAAGAGGAGTTCACGGAAGATGATGAAGGTTGGAGTGGGATTCAACCACACATTTATCGCAACGAACATGAAAACAGTTTTGTGTTCTCAGATATCGAGGTGGAGAATGGTGTAAAACGTGCTGAAGAAGAAGCTAGAATTGCACAGGAGTCGGTGTTTTTCTTTTCATTTCGACTTCTACGTTTTACTTCCTACTTCTTTTTTCAGATATCAAAAGTTCAATGATCTTATTGAGTTTGGTCGGTCTATCCATACCTTATCGCTACAGGTTCCGAATATGAGTGGATCATCGAAGACTCTTTTGAATGTGAGCTACGTTAACTCATTAAATCATAATTTATTTGTGACGAAATATCAATGGGTTCGTTTATATCGACGTTCAGGACGCGTTAGCAACGATATGTATCGTGGATTATTCTGAATTCGAGTCGCATCCTCTTTTAAGCGAAGAGCATCTGAAAGACTTGGCTAAGCAGACTGCAGCTGCAATACTAGGTTCTTTTAAATGTTTTTTTTTCTATTTTAGGAAGTTCTTGTGGGTTTCTCGATTGATTTCCATGTTGATCATCATTCCAGCCCTTTCAATTTGTTTTTCTAGAATTTGGTGGTCGAAGCTCTATGTCCCAATTGTCTCGTTATATACACCTATGGATCAAAATGCAAACAGAACTCACTAATGCCATGGTTCCACATTGTGCATTTACGGATCTGTCACAACTGGTATTTTTCAATTCACGAAGATCTCAAGTTTCCATAGATATAGCTAAATTGTAGGTGTTCGGCAATACTAATCTCTTGGCAAATTCTGGTGGAGGGTCAACAGCAACAACTCAGGACGATTCAGCTATGGTCGTGGGATAATCGATTATTGTCATTTGTTCCAATGACATGTGCCTGTCAGCAGCGGCTCCTAGCGAATTGTTTGAGGATAAGCATAGGTTCGGGGGTTAGGTGAAGTTTATTTGAGTTCGCTTCTCAGAATTTGAACTTCTTAAATTTTTAAATTTCTAGCTTCTTTGACACTGATTTCTTCTAACATACAGCATTAATATTGTTGTAGTTAATCACTTGATTTAAAACGAGGAAGCTTCGGGCCTGGGTATACTTTAGCACCATGTATGAACAGCGGACAAGCAGCTCCACACCTTTTTGCGCTGCCTTGGATGCCGCAGGAGTATACCTAGAACTTTGGCTTCTTACATAAGGTTGCTCTACTACTCGACGAAGCGCTGTCGGCCACCTATGTAATCTACCGCTAGATCTTCAATGCCAATGGCAGAGTTCCCATCATCCGACGATGTCGTTCAAGTCTATACCAATCCCTTCAAAATCGTATTTCACTGTTGCGAGCTCAGTGCTGTCAGCAAATCTACCGAAATCGGTGGACAACCGACAGCAGTTGGCCGGGTATAGCAGCAACCACAACAGAGTCGACCCATTCGCCACATATCGGCGCGTTCAATTTTCGCATGCCGCGTCCTGAATTTTGGCAGCAAATGTATGATATGTTTGTTTCAATTTTTGCTTTTTCTCATGTTTATTGCCTTTCTAGCATCATTTATTTCTATAATTTTAACTAGTAGTCATTTTATATTTTTTCTCTGGCTCCTAGAATACCCCACTATGCAATGCTACCTCAACCTCATCGATTTTGTATCTCTAGGAACAATTTGCTCGTTGTCGTTCGCTCAGGAAATTTCCCTCGTAATCACTGAATGCCTGTCCATCGTATTCCGTCTTGCCAGTACTCTTCAGTGCTGTATGTTCATATTATCGATTTGTGAATTAGAAATTCGTCGAACGTTTGTGAACTTACTACTTCTCTCAGTAGCACGTATTCTTTTCGTCCAAACCTACCGAATTCGGTGGTTTGCTGTTTGTAAAACAGTTCCCTTTGTCGACTGAGGCGCGATCCAATCATTACGTACTTGTATTGCCTAGATTTCAATATACCAAATCTTTCTATTTGACGTGTGTTTTGTAGGACGATATCAGTGTTCTACCTGGACTCAATGTACATTGCCTGATAACTTGTATAGTGATTTTATTAACACCACTGCGGTAGGTGTGACGTCTATTCGTGAAGAAGCTGAAGTATTACCCTTAGTGATTTCTTCTAGTTTCGCTCATGTGATAAATATAATGGAATTTCTGTAGTGTTCATGTCGTTCGAAGCGTTTCTTCACATTCGCTACTGGTATCGACCTTTCTCTTCGGAAAGTTTGCAAAAGCTAGTTGAATGGATTAATAACGCAGGGTACGAGGATGGGTGTGGCAGGCGATTCGTCATTGTACAAGGATAAAGTCGTTATGGCTCCTATGGTACGAGCCGGTCGTACGCCGTTGAGGTTTTGTTCGCTCTCATTCTACGCTTTTTAACTGCAGCAAATGTCGGATCTTTAATTAGTTATACTTTTTATTAACTATTTGGCATTTTCTATGAAAGGGAGACATTGTAATGGTTCCCTAGAAGCCTCACATTTATAAGCTATATGGTCAGGATGAAAGCGGATAGGTGGCATGTGGCAATACGCGCGAAGGTGATTCAGGAGTCAAATCACAAATGAATTCTACCCGGGCCAAATTGGTGTTCCATTTCCAGAGTTCGATTTATTGCATCATTCTTATTTGGTACTTTTGCGCGGCTTCATGGTATCCCTAGCTCTCAAGAAAGGCGTAATTTCTGTAGTTGTTGGGTTGGAATGGGGAATTAACCAACAATCGCTTAGAGACTTACTCGGCTTATAGCTAGACCGCCGTCACAAACGGCGACGGATAAGCGCTTGTTCGTCACCGAGTGTGACGGCGGTCTTAGCGCTGCAAGTGAGATCGGATGGGCTTGCAGCTAAGGGTTTCCTTCGTTCTGTGATATGAATGAAAGAGCGAAGCTCAGCGACTTTTTTTAAAGCTCACCAGGATTCTAATGGACTTTCTCATGCCTTTTTAGTGGCTCGGAGTAATTTGAGCTTCACGGTTAAGCATTGAAAGTCTTGATATTTTGTCTTATTTTCCAAAATTGACGGTTGGCATGTAGGCATGGATAGTATAATCGAGTCATAGTTTGAGTTTCATGGTTAAAGGCACAACCCAGGCAGAGGTCGTGTGAACGCTTCTCTTCGGTCTGTAGTATAGACCCCTAGAGGACAATCACAAATGTGGCGTTCCGTGCACGGAAACCAACCGACAAGAGCGCTTGGGCCTTGCAAAGTAAGCTGCTGAAGCTGCAGATTTTTTTCTCTTATCAGGCTGTTGTCTGGCGCTCTCTCATCTGTAGCGCTCTCTCGCCCATACTCTCCTCTCCGCGCTTAGTCTCTCATTCCCTTAGCACAGCCGATTAGGAAGGTGAGTGAGCCCTTAACCTAGCGTTTTCGACGGATTCTTTTCCTTTTTTCTTTACTGCCGGCCCACTTCGCACCAATACATTCGCATTCGTGTGCAAGAGCCACACCAATGTGATCCTGGGGCATGCCTTCAAGAGAAATAGAAACTTGCCAGTATTCGTGAGCCTGGTGAAAAGGAACAAAAGAGCTTAGCCTGAGGAAAAACCGAAGCAAGCCATCTTTTTCCTTTTTATCTTTCTTTTTGATTTCGAGGTTGTTCCTATCAGTTCAGTCCTACTGTCGATACAGCACTAATACTTATACATGGATGCCTAGATGTGTATAGTATCCTATCTGTCGCTTTTAACCTCTGCAGAAAAGGCTGAGGAATTCCTCATACTTGAAGGGACTTGCATCA